AACTCATGGATGTGCTCCATGTTTGCAGCAGAGATGAGCCACTTGCCATCAACAGACCAGTCCCCAAAGCTGCCTCCTGCCTGAGAGCTTTCTCCTGCAGGTCCTGGGGATTTGGGGTGCCTCCTATCCATCTCTCTCCCTCTTCTGAAAAGCATCAAGGAATGGGGCAAATCCAGAAGATCTTGGCCCATTGTCCCTGGGGTGGGGAGCAGCACTGGCAGGAGGCCACGTTGGGGTGTCTCCAAGACCTGATGGTGCTTAGGAGCACAGGTTGTGCCCCAGCAGTTCAGCAAGGGGGCCTGGCTGTGCAGGTTACCTCGTTCTTTTACACGGGGTTTAGGAATTCTGACTTTCCTCTCAAGTGATTAGGAATAGCGTGTCCCTGACTGTGTGCTGTGAGCTGTGAGGGAGCAGCCAGTAACTTGGTTAGCTGTTGTGACTCCTCTTGGTCCTGGACATGGGCTGGGTGTCACCTTGCCAGGAATCAGCCTTTCTTTCCAGTACAGTCCCCTCACATCACCTCCCCTCCACTCCTCTGTGCTCTGATGCTGAACCTGCAGGTGGATGGAGATGGTCTAGGGAGCACGTTCAAATTTGGTTTTTAAGAAGGAAAAATTGTTTTAAAATATGATTTTGCTGCTGTTGGAGGTTGGTTGTGCCTGCTGCAATGCCATCCCATGCCATTGCTGTGCAAGGATGGGGCATAACCATGGGTATGAGTCCCTGGCACAGGTTGCCCAGAGAATCTGTGGCTGCCCCTGGATCCCTGGAAGTGTCCAAGGCCAGGTTGGACGGGGCTTGGAGCAACCTGGTCCAGTGGAAGGTGTCCCTGCCCATGGCAGGAGGGTTGGAATGAGATGATTTTTAAGGTCCCTTCCAACCTAAGCTATTTTATGGTTCTCTGATAACCCTGGGGCTGCGCTCGGGGCAGTTTGGTCCTGTACAGCCCCTCTATCTGGGGCACAGAGCTGCTCAGGGGTCTGAGGGCAAGGAGGGACTCAGAAAAGGGGCACTGCCCCCTCTCTGAGAGGTTCCTGGCTCCATCCTGTATCTCCATCCCTCTGCAGGCTGAGGCAGGGGGTTGCCACCCCAAGTACCATCCATGTGCCCTGCAGCGCGAGCCGCGAGAGGCTTTGCAAGAAGAGGCTTGTTGTTTCAGCTGATTTCAGTGTTTTAATTTGAAGGGGAATAATGTGTAATCACAACAACTGTCATCTGTTTGACAGTGGAAAATCCCAGATCTCCCGTGCTTTTTTGTGCCCCGTGCTGGGCAGCCTTTCAGCAGCACGAGCTGCTCTGCAGTCACATTTGTAGTCCTGGTGGGATGAATGGGTTCAGACCAGCTCACTAATCTAATTTGTAATGTATCCTTATAACGTATAATTGGCTGTTTAATTTAATTCAAATTAACATAAGAATGGAAAATACAATCTGCTGTGTATCCCACATGGTGGTGGAGGGGAGCGTTGGGTGTTCCTGCAGAGAGGTTGAGAGGTGGCTTTGTGAGACCACCCTTGGTGGGGGTGGAGGCGTCATCTTGGACATGTCAGTAGGCACCGTGTGTGACAATAAATCACTCCCTTTCCCCAGCCTTCCAAGTGCCTATCTGTCTCATCTCCCTTCCTTATCTTTCTAGCCATCTCTTTAAAACACATATAGAGTGAAGGCGGCTTGCTTTGGAAAACTGTCGGTAGCGACAGGGTGTGAAAGCTGGCAGGCGCCGAGTCTGATTATGTTGATTGGATATTGTCTAATCTGATTTTGATTGTGTACAGCTTTGATTGTAATTTTGATACGTCTGCAAAATGCTGTAGCTGTTTGGAAAGCTTTGTGATTTAAACAGGTCTTTTTTCTTTCTCTCTTTTTTTTTTTTTCCCCTGGGTTGAATAGAACAGAGGCAGAAACGTGCCAGGGGGTGAGCGGGGCGACGGGGCTTTGGCACTCCCTGCAAAACCACCTCAAAGCCCTTGGGTGAGCTGCTCTGCAGCAACACAAGGAACTCATAGTTTTGAAGAGAGCTTTAGGAAACTTTGAGTGGGTTTTACATAATTTAGTTAAGCACAGCAAAGCCACTTGCTTATATACCTGATACCAAAATAAACCAGTTGGAGAACAAGTTTGCTGTGTGATGATTTATTTAAATCCCTTTCTGTAAAGCATGGAGTGAAATCCTCTTAAATAACTGGGAAAGAATCGGTGTACCTCGAGGAGCACAGCCCAAATGGAAACCTTGCTACGAGAGGTATTAAATGGGATCTCTCTGTCTGCTGTTGTGTACATCCCCTCAGCCCGCTGCCTCCTCCCTATAATAACACTGTTAGACAGAAGCTGGCTGGAAAAGTAGCTGGGCTTGAATTTCCCCTGAACAATAACAGTTGGTACAGAGCTATCAGGGCCCAGGCTCTGTCTTGTGTTTCTGGCATGCTGTTGTTTCCCTACAGCTGGTGGGAATCTCAGGAGAACATGAAGGTTCTGGTCAGATATGCAGTACCTGTTCTTGAGTCATCAAATGGTTTAAGTTGGAAGGGAACTTAAAGGTCATCTTGTTCCAATCCCCTGCCATGGGCAGGGACACCTTCCACTAGCCCAGGTTGCTCCAGCCTGGCCTTGGACACTTCCAGGGATGGGGCAGCCACAGCTTCTCTGGGCAACCTGTGCCAGGGCCTCCCCACCCTCACAGGGAGGAAGTTCTTCCCAATATCCCATCTAACCCTGCCCTCTGGCAGTGGGAAACCATTTCCCCCTGTCCTGTGACTCCATCCCTTGTCTAGGGTCCCTCTCCAGCTCTCTTGGAGCCCCTTGAGGCACTGGAAGGAGCTAAGGGCTCCCTGGAGCCTTCTCTTCTTCAGGCTGAACACCTCCAGCCCTCCCAGCCTGGCTCCAGCCCTCAGAGGATCTCTGTCGTCTCCTCTGGACTTGCTCCAGGAGCTGCACATCCTTCCTGTGCTGAGGACCCCAGGGCAGGAGGCAGCACTGCAGGTGGAGTCTCACTTGAGCAGGGCAGAGCAGCACAATCCCCCCTCCCACTGCCCAGGCTGTGGGACGAGCCCAGGACAGGGGGGGTTTCTGGGCTGTTTGGGTGCACACACATGTGCAACCTTTCCTCCACCAGCACCCCAAGTCCTTCTCTCACAGGGCTTTTCTCAGTGTGCACCTCTCCCAGTCTGTGCTCCTGCCCGGATCACCCTGACCCAGGTACAGCATCTTGCACTTTGACTCATTAAACCTCGTTCTTCCCAGGCTCGTCCAGGTCCCCCTGGACATCCCGTCCTTCTGTTCTGTCAGCAGCTCTTTTCTTTGTCTCTTTCTGCAGTGGGGTGAGGGAAGGGGAGAGGTGGGGGTTCAGCTGAGCAGAGGACAAGCTACCACCAGCCTCAGTTTTGGGGTGAGTCAGGAGCACCCCCCTGCTCTGACACCCCACAGAGCCACGGCTCTCCCTGGCAGTGCCCTTTCACCAATGCACAGATCCCTCCTTCCTCTCTCCTGCCTCTCCCACTGACTTCTGTGTTCTGGTTAAATATGGGCTTTAATTTATTTTATTAAGGGCTTTCTCCCCGCACTGTGGGGTGATGAAGAGCAGGAATCTGAGGATGAGCCCTGGGACAATGGATTAATAAAGCCTACAGTGCTTAACTGTTTTTTTAAACATCTGGGGTTTTGCTCTTAAATCAAGTACTAAGTCAAAATCCAACCATGAAACTAGGTGATCAGGGCAATTTAGCTCAAAATCCACGTGTATAATACTATGGCTAATCAGAATTTCATATGCTATAATAATAATAATATGTGAAACAGTAGATGTTTAGAATCAGCCTCCTCTGCCAGAGACTCATTATGTTCTGCATTGATAATTAATAATTTTGGATAGATTCACACTTACATTATGAAGCAAATATGTTTTTGTCTGAAGTGAAAACGATTGCACAGGTGCAATAACATATTCTTTATATAAATTGGAACGCTTGGAAGTAAACAAGCCTCCAGAAAACATGGGGAGCAGACGGAGAACTGACATCTCTGTGTATTCGTGTCACCTCGAGGCAGCGTTGGTAGGGAGGTGAGGGAACACTTCTCCAGATGAAATTTGGAAGAGGATATAAGGAAGGACAAATCTCCATGTGTGGTGAAGCCATGCAGGCTTCCTTTAAAGGATTTTTTAACAAGTGATGGCTGTGTTTGCAAATCTCCCTCCCTGGTTGTAGCTTCTATGCTGGAGTTTTTGAGGACTCAACAGGAATTAGGACAAGAGGGAATGGCTTTAAACTGAAAGGGGGAAGAGTTAGATTAGGTATTAGGAAAAAATTCATTACTACGAGGGTGGGGAGGCCCTGGCATGGGTTGTCCAGAGAAGCTGTGGCTGCCCCATCCCTGGAAGTGTTGAATGGGGTTTGGACCAATCTGGTTAGTGGAAGGTATCCCTGCCCATAGTTTAAGTGAGGTTTAAGGTCCTTTCCAACCCAAACCATTCCATGATTCTTTGAATATTGTTCCCAAGTAATCATTATTTCTGCAGACCTAATTCTCATAAAAACTCTTAAAAATACCAGCTGTAGGTACTGTAAGAGCTGAGCTGGGTGCCCAGAGAGAGACTTTGACTTACAAATGCCTCAGCTGGTCGGGAAGCAGCTCTGCCATGGTTCCAGTGGCTCTGCAAGCATCCCTGGCCTGGCTGTGGTCCAGGCATGGAGGTTTCTGCTGAGGTTTTGGCGAGTTAAAGATGTGCAAGAGGGATGAGGGGAGCAAGGGGATGACCTGAGTGGATCTGAGGTGTGTGAGGATCCATGGTGTCTCTGATGGATGGTGGTGCAGCACTGCCACACTTGCACCCTGGCTCCTGCCAAGTTCCAACCTGGTGTGCAGCGCTAGAGTTACCCTTTTTATTACAACAAAACCATTTTCACTGGAATGTGCTTTTGTATTTCTTACACAAATGATCGTTTCCTTTGCTGAAGCAGCGGGGCAGTGACAAAATGTTGCAAAATGTCTTTTTCCCGTTTCAGACGTACAACAGCCAGAATGAAAACAACGAGGACTACGAGATCCCTCCCATAACGCCTCCCAATCTCCCCGACCCTTCCCTCCTGCACTTGGTGGACCACGAAACTGGATATCACTCTCTGTGCCACAGCCTCCCTCCCAACAGCCTGATCCCAGCCTACCCCTACCAGAACATGGACCTGCCGGCCATCATGGTCTCCAACATGTTGAGTCAGGATGGGCATCTCCTGTCCAGCCAGCTACCCACGGTCAGTGCCTTTCCCCTCTTACTGTCTTGCATCAAAGCTGCTCTGTATTTTGAGTTATGAGTCAGCTGAGCATGGAAGGGTGTCGGTGATGAGCTGTTTGCCTGAGGGGGTTGGCAGCTCTGTGGTGCTGCCCACCAAGGCCGGGGTGCAGTGGCAGAGACTGGAGTCACCTGAGTGGCCATGCACATGGTGTCAAGTCTATGTTTCCAGTTTGGTGTCTTCCTGAGCCTGATGAACCACTCAAGAGCAGGGGAAGGTTGTTTTCCTCTGTGTATTTAACATCCTCCCTGAACCAAGCGAAGTGCACGTACTCCATCCCCCGTGGGAATGTGACCAGCCAAAGCCTGGAGTTCATAGCCCTGCATCCTTTCTCTTCATCCCTGTGTCCTGCTGCCAGGGTGACCCCAGTGGCATCAGCAGGAGGAGCATGGATGCTCCCTGAAGGGAAAGCTGTGTGATTGATTTCAAGGGGAACAAGATCCCTCCTGGCACTTGCAGGCTCAAATTGCCTCTTGCCTCACGCCGTGGCAAGGGGATACCTTGGGAGGTTTCAAATGACTCATCTGTAGGGATAAACAAGGCAGGGATAATGAAGTTGAAGTGCAGCTCTGGGAAGAAACTTCAGGGCTAATTAGACCTTACGATGCTTCTGCATCGGCAGCACCGAGGAAAGGTTGTGACTTGATTTTGACAGTGATACTGAATTAATACTGTTGCTGTTTAATACCATTTTCCTCTTTAGCAAATTTAGCCCTGTGGTTGGGTTTCGACATTGTTTCTCTCTGAGATCATTGATTTTGGATGGCATCGATATCAAACAGAGTTAATTTGACTTAAAGAGCATGGCTGGGAGGCTGCCCCTGCCTGGCTGGGGAGCTCTTGGTGTTGATTGCTTGACTAGATAATGGTCTGAAAGGTAGTGATATTTAAATATTTAAATGGGATATTATCTCTTAGCCCAGGAAAATCCCAAGGCTTTCTAAAGTCCTGATGAGTCTCCAAGTTTCATTGTTAGTGTGTTTAAGAAAAATATCATGTTCTGCCCATCAGTATTGAACAGAGGCATATTTCTATGGAATTAAATATTACTTAGGGCTCTGTGTTAGCTTCTAGGTTCTTAGGTGATTAAAACATTCATTTCTGAGACAAAAAGAGTCAATTTCAGCTGAAATATTTTTCCCTGGTTTAATTTAAAGCACAGCCCCTTTGCCTGACCCCTATTTTCATAACACGATAATTTTATCCTGTGTTGATTGTCTCATTTTTGGAGGTGATATTGCACTTATAAATCACTTTCTAAAATACCTAAAGAAAAAAAGAATTGGGGGATTTATTAAGCAGCTTCCCTACGTCTGAAATAATTTATTTTGGAGTAGTCCTTGGGAAACGTTCTCTTTCTTACTTTATGGTACTGTTTTACAAATGCAGCGTGGTGACAATAAATCAGGACTGAGCCAGAGAAGATAAGAAGGGGGCTTAGTGGGCTGTAAAAGTAGAATAGAGAGATTAAGATTTGTTTGCCCCTTACCGCGAAAATAAAAAAATCCAGTGAACCCTGAATTTCCCAGCCAATAGTGAATTGAAACTGTTTGGTTTTGAGTGGAAACCCTTGGAGCTGTAATACATCTTCAGGGGTCCTGACAGCAAGGGGAGGGGATCAGGGAGGGAGCCGTGTTGCACTTTTACGTCAGAATTCAATCCTACCTTACCCTCCTGCCAAAGCATTTTTTTCCCACTGAAAAGTGACACCTTCTGTCCCCTCTTGGGTGGGGGATTGAGTCTCCCCTTCCTCCAGCACCAGCCCACGATGGCAGTGTTTGTCCCACAGCACACCTACAGCTCCTGTTAGTGCTGAAGGGAGCAGCACATGCACATGAGGACACAATAAAACCCTGGGGAGAGAGCAGATTTTAAACTCATGTGGTTAATACCCTACAGCACCTTGCAGTACCTAAAGGGGCTCCAAGGGAACTGGAGAGGGACCTTGGGCAAGGGCATGGAGGGACATGACAAGGGGGAATGGCTTCAAACTGACAGAAAACAGGTTAGATGGGATATTGGGAAGGAATTGTTCCCTGTGAAGATGGGGAGACCCTGGCACAGGTTGCCCAGAGAAGCTGTGGCTGCCCCATCCCTGGAAGTGTCCAAGGCCAGGTTGGACAGGGCTTGGAGAAACATAATCCAGTGAAAGGTGTCCCTGCCCATGTCAGGGGAGTGGAACTAGGTGGTCTTTAAGTTCCCTTCCAACTCAAACCATCCTGTGATTCTTCACCTCCTGCCCATGTGCCTGTCACGCCACAGCTCACGGGGTGGTGTCCCCGTGAAGCCAGAAGTGAGTCAGGAGTCACTGTCTGATGGCACAGGGCACACTCTGTGCTCCAACCCTGCCAAAGTCACCCACCACCCATCACCAGGTGGGTGTTTGCAGCAGGAAGCCTCCACATCAAGAGAGGGGCTTGTTTGCCAACGCTTCCAAAAGGAGAGGGTTCATTACCACACGGGTAGTGACGGGAAGCCAGTCTGGGGCTGAGCGGTGCCTGAGCACAGAGGAGGTGGCTCAGCCTGGGGAGGTTTTGTCTTTGTTCCAGCACCAGCGTTGTTCATGCAAATGCTGGAGCTGGAGCCTCTCTCCTGCTCCTTGCTGTAGTTCATACAGGTTTTTGCATACACAGCTGTTTCCTGCCTTGGCTGCCATGTCTTTTGGTTTGAATACGGTGACAAATGACAAGCAATTCCACGTAAAATATTTAGACATTGGTCAGACTTGTGCTCTAAAAATGTAACTTGAGCCTTGGGATTTTTTTTAAGGCATCCTCGTGAAAAAAATCTCAAGCTGCTGGAAAGAGGTGAGTCCTGACTCCCGGAGAGCCATGGGATTGGAATTTTCTTTAAGAGCTCAGAAGTAAATAAAGAAAATACAGGTGCAGGTTGCTGTCCCCTGGGATGTGTCTCTTGTCCTGGGATGTCCTGACATTACCCTCAGATTGCATTAAGCCTCCCAGTGCCTCTGCCAGGGATAGGCTGCTGCTCCTACTATGGAGGTGACCAACTCAGGGTGATTTTAAATCAGGACAGAAATTCCCATGGCAGGGTGGGAGCTGGAGAGTGGAGGTGGATATGCTGTGTGCCAGACCCCACTCCTGCCTCCAGCCCACCCACAGGCTGTCAGAAGCTGGAGCCCCTTGTTCAAGCACAGCAGCTGTGCCCTGATGGGGAAAACCCAAATCCACCACCCCTTCTGTATTTCCTTATCCCCTCAGGATCATCATCCAGAGCAGCCTCCCCACCACTGGCCTCTGCACACCCTGCTCTGCCCATGGACCAGCTCTGCATTTCCATAACATGGTTCTTCACTGCTGTTTCTCTCACTTTATTTCTCTTTTTTTTTTTCCCCCATGAGTTTTTGGAAGTTGAGGGAGTTTTCAATCACTGGATGTGGGGTGCAGGGAGCTGAAGAGGAGGGAAGCAGGGATGGATGGACAAGGAATGGCACAGGACGTGTGGAGGATGGTGGAAGGGGATGTGGGGAGGCTGGGGAGGAGGCAGGACTGGCTTGTTTGGGGAAAACTTGGGTTTTTTTGTGTAGTGACAAGAAACAAACAGAAAATTCTTACTACAGTGGATTTTTTTTTCTACTGGCCTCTCTTTTGCTATGGGAAAAGAGGAAGGAAAGAAGAGGAGTGGCAGGAGGGAAAGGAAATAGGAGAGATGTGACTGTCGCTGAGAAATGGAAATATTTAGGAAAAAATTGTTTTCCACGGGAAGAGAATGACTTTTCCCACTGTGACCATCCCAACAGTGTGGACAAGCAGCTGCTGAGCCCTCCAGGGATTCACAAGGAGTCCTGCTGGGCTGGGACCACACTGGGGTTGGGATCTGGGGGCATGGGGGAATCGGGGCAGGGGGCAGAGACATGCTGTGGATCAGTGGTGAGGTGGGGGCCCGCTGGGTTAAGGAGCTGCTGTGAATAAATGAGATTTCAGAAGGGATTTGGCAGAACATATTTGACAGAAACAAAGGCCAATCAAGGTCAGAGCTCAGGAATCTCCAACGCAGCGCAAACATATTTCCATAAATATTAAATAGCGACCAAGCGGGCTGGGGGTGTCTCTGCTCATCAGGTGGGACAGTGCTGGGCTGGGGGGAGCCAGGAGCTCCTGGTCAAGGGGACAACACTGCCTGGAGCTCACCACAACTGCTCCAGAACCTCAAAACTGTGCGGTCCCCCAAGCCTGATCAAAGGAGGTGGCTGTGCTGGGACACACCAAAAAACCAGCCCGTTCTCCCATGGTGCACATCATGGGCTGAGAGATCCTTGTGAGTCCTTTAAATGCACTAACACTTCCCTGAGCCCAGTGGGGTGACTTTTTTCTGCTCACAGCGAGCTGGTGCGAGGACAAAAGTGCTGCAGCCACAGCCTGACAGTTCTTAGTTTCTGTTTGTTGACTGGAAACAGATTATTTGAAAACTGTTAAAAATCTTCGGTGGCAAAAAGCACATTGATTCTGTAAAATGACAGATTCCCAGTTAGCTGTGGAACCTGTTTTTGCAGAGGGGAGAAAGTAAAATGGTAAATGGGGGTGAACTGTAGTAGCAAGGCAAGTGCCAGGCTGAAATTCCTGAAGTTTTCAGTTGACTTTGCAACCTGAATAGCTGTTTCCCAGCACGATGGGGCTTTGGTCTGGAACAGAGAGGAAACCAGTAAAACAGCTCAGCAGTAATCCAGCTGCCTGCCTCCCACAGGAGAAGTGGAAAGGAAAGGCAGCCCCTTCCCAGAGCTGGGGTGTGCATGCCCGAGCTGTGGGGTGGTGAAGGGCTCCTTTCTGGTGCTCACCAGAAGACCTTGAAGAAAGTTTTCCTGCAAGCAGGTTGCAAGGCCATGCCCTGGCAGCTCTCTTGACTCTGTGTGTCTCTCCCCACGTCCCAGCCTTCCCTGAGGTGGAGTCAGTGGGAATCCCAGCGCTGTTGTCCTGCACAGCCCTGGGAAGGCAGTCGTGGTA